TCTGCCATCGTCACAAGAGACGTGTCTCCTGATCGTGGCTGCCCTTTAATCCTGGGACCAGAATGGACGTGTGGGGGCGTCAGAGCTGCCCCGTTGACCTGTGGACCCTCAGAGAATAAAGGATGGCAGCTGTAATGCTCAGAGTTTTGAGGCGCTTTGTTAGACACTGCGCTTCATGGCCATTGCTGACTGGTGTGAACATTTAGCAGAAATTCTGAAGATAGCAGGTGGTTAATAAATGATACCCTTCCTGGAATGCTTATTTCCTGCAAGGTTACTGAGCATCTATGCTTTTGCCAGGCACCGTGATGTGTTAGGTGACGGGGGTACAGAAAACAAGCATTAGTAACGTCATAACAAGAGCTAACGTTAAGAAATGATTTCCTTGGTTACTGTTGGCTGCAATGGTCTTGGTTGCTGTGTGGGGCCGCTCTCTGGCGGTGCTGGCTTCTCTCGGGGAGCTCGGCCCCGGGCGCGCGGCTTCAGTCGTGGCGTGCCAGCTCCGTGGTTGTGGCTCGCGCACTCGAGGTCAGGCTCGGTGGTTCCGGCTCGCGGGCGTAGCTGCCCCCACATGTGGAGTCTTCCCCGACCGGGGATCGAACCCATGTCCCTGGCATTGGTTGGTGGGTTCTTAGCCACTGGACCCCCACTGAAGTCCAATAATGAACATTTATTAAAGATTTGCTAGGTTCCAGGTACCACGCTCAGCTCTGTGTATTAACTTATTGAAATTTCCCACCTTTCTATGGAGAAAATGGCGAGATTAAGCCTTGAGAGTGTAAGGGACCTGTCCCAAATCATGACCGGAAAGACCCAGCTCCTGTGCTGTGGAGCTGAGTCTGGCAAAGAAGGATGCTTGCTGGCAAACACTCAGGCAAGCCTACCCGTGCGACTGGTCCCTGTTATTGTCTGAGCTTGGATTCTGCGGTGAGGCAGCAAACGGCAGACTGGGAGTTTGGGCAGGAAATCCTTCTTTCCTCCACTCTGCTGGCAGAGTTGAGCTGAAGGCTGTTAGGAAGCGAGGGGATGGTGAGGTTACAACCTGGCGCCAAATGGCGTGAAGGTGAACACGAGCCCCACAGGTGCTCAGGAAAGCCCCGCTTTTGGAGTTATAAAGGCTCAGAAGCAAGCTTCCGGGATTCTGGGTCCAGCTCTTCCACAGGTGTGTGGGCTGGCCTTCGGTCTAACCTTTGCCCACTTTGGGCCTCAGTGTTCTCACCTGTAAAATGGGCTGGAGCATGTGGTTGGGTGATCTCCGTGGTGGTTTCCACGTCAGCGATGCAGGGAGCTTTGGATCCCTGCTTTGGAAGGAACATGTCTTCCTTGTCATCTGCAAGGGTGGAGGGGAGTATAGAGGAGGAGTGACAATATCCTTTTGGAAATTGTGTTAAAAGTAGTCCAGGCAGTTTCCCGTTTGTTTGATGAGAGACTGCGGCTCTTTCTACTGGAAACTGGCTCTAGAGTGGGATTTTAGCACCAGCATGTGGGGTGTGTGTGGTGGGGTTTAGCTTTTCTAATGGAAGGATCATGAGCCCGACAACAGCTCCCATTTACTGAGCGACTACGATGAGCCACACACGTGCTTCTCTCTGCCAGCTCTCCATTCGACACCGAGGAGGCTGAACCCTTCGGGCCTCCCGTGCCGCCTTCTCTTGTTTGGGAGTCTCTCCTCGTAGGAGAGATGCTCTTCGTGGCTCTGTCAACCCGGGCGAGCTCTGAATGTCTCTGAACCTCAGTTTCCTTATCTATAAAATGTGCATATGAAGGCCTTCCTCACAAGTTTCTGGTGAGGACCACATCGAGTACCATAAATGCTCCTGGGACATAGAAGGCGCTTGATACAAGTAATCATTTTACTTAATGTGCAAATAATCATGTATTAAAATCAAATCCTTCTCTTCAGAGGCACTAATTCTATGTCTTCCCAGAAACTTTTGTTTGGTTTTCACAGTCATTCTACTTTGCTCAGTTCAATTCAAACCACAGAATCATAGACCATTAAAGTTCAAAAATCACCCAATCTCTGCCAGTTCAGTCAGTTTTAGACTTATCTTTTCACGAGTCTAAGCAAAGAGTGCCTTTTCCTAACTAAACCTTACGGAGAATCCCAGGGAGTGAAACCCAGAAGGGCTGAATTGTCCTGCTGGAGGTGGGGGCTGGGTGACGCCAGGGACGAGGTCCTGCCCAGCGGGCACCCCTCTTGCCCTAGTCGGGACCTCCGGGCTCCGCTGAGGATCCTTGCCCAGTGCTCTTCAAACTCCACGAAGTCAGTCTGCAAGCCCATGGTGCACAGTCTGGTCCGTGCCAGTTTTGTTTCAGTTACATAAGCATCTAGTGTTTGTTGGACTGAGATGTAAAAATTTACTTCTCACTGCAACTTGCCATCAAAAACATGGCAAAGCCAATCACCCCAATCCTTTCACTTCATGACCCGCGAGGAAGGGTGGACCCAGAACACAGGGCTGGGGCTGGTCTGGGGAGTGGTTTCTGAACACTCACAGCGTGTCCTCTGAGAGACAGGAGACTGAGGTTCAGATTGGGAAAGAAAGAAGGCTGCGGGGGCTTCCCTGGCAGCCCCGTGGTTAGGCTTCTGTGCTTCCACTTTGCAGGTGCAGGTTCGATCCCTGGTTGGGGAACTAAGCTCTCCCCTGTGCCGCTTGGCAAACAAACCAGCAAGTAAACATGAAGTGAGGGTACACGAGAAGGCAGAGCTTGATTCAGCTCAGCCTGGGGCCTCCGAGCCTGCGTGTCGCCCGCAGCCCTGCTGCCCGGGTACAGAGGGTCATCCGGAGCCCAGACTGGACGGAGGGGCCAGACGGAGGAGGGGGGCACCCCAGGCTTTATGATGTGGATGGAGGGGTCAGACAGGGGAGGGGGGTACCCTGGGCTTTATGATGTGGATGGAGGGGTCAGACAGGGGAGGGGGGTACCCTGGGCTTTATGATGTGGATGGAGGGGCCAGACAGGGGAGGTGGGGGCCCCGGGCTTTATGATGTGGATGGAGGGGTCAGACAGGGGAGGGGGGTACCCTGGGCTTTATGATGTGGATGGAGGGGTCAGATGGAGGAGGAGGGGACCCCGGGCTTTATGATGTGGATGGAGGGGCCAGACAGGGGAGGTGGGGGCCCCGGGCTTTATGATGTGGATGGAGGGGTCAGACGGGGTGGGGGGTAGGCTTTATGATGTGGATGGAGGGGTCAGACAGGGGAGGGGGGGACTCTGGACTTTATGATGTGGATGGAGGGGTCAGATGGGGGAGGGGGGTACCCTGGGCTTTATGATGTGGATGGAGGGGTCAGATGGAGGAGGAGAGGACCCTGGGCTTTATGATGTGGGCAGAGGGGTCAGACGAGGGAGGGAGGACCCCAGGCTTTATGATGTGGACGGTGGGGTCAGATGGAGGAGGAGGGGACCCAGGGCTTTATGATGTGGATGGAGGGGTCAGACAGGGGAGGAGGGGACCCCAGGCTTACCTTCCTGCTGCAGTCGGTGGCCTGGGCGCCACTCTGGAAGCCACAGGGAGGGTGGGCGTGCGACGGCAGCCCCATCTGAGGGGCAATCTTCAGACTGTGCAGCTGCGTTGATGTGAATGAGCACCTCTGCCCTTTGCAAACTACTGGTCAGATGCCTCCCAGGCGGCCTTGCTGGGACAGAGACGGAAGGCGCTGGGCTGCAGTCAGGCCAGTCCTGACTTCTGCTTTTCTTAGTCGCGTTCGTTTCCTAGACACAGCCCTCCTGCTCCTCCGTCCTCCCTGCACCCCCAGCTGCTGTGTTCCCGGGTCTGTGTCTCTGTCTTTGGACGCCCCAGTCTCTCTCCGCGGACAGTTCTCTGTCTCCGTCTCTGGGTCACTTTCTCCACTTTCCATCTCTGCTGTTCTTCCCTCCTTTTCTTTTTTAAAAATAACTTAACTTATTTATTTTTGGTTGCGCTGGGCCTGCCTTGCTGGGAGGCCTTCTCTCCAGTTGCAGCAGGCAGGGTCTGCTCTGGCCGAGGGGCTCAGCGTCTCATCACAGGGCGTGGGCTCTGGGGCGTGGGGGCTTCAGTGACCGCTGCTCCTGGGTGCTCGAGCACAGACAGTAATTACAGCTCGTGGGCTGAGCTGCTCCATAGCGTGCAGGATCCTCCCAGCTCAGGGATCGAGCCCGCGTCTCCTGCACTGGCAGACGGGATCTTCACCCCTGAACCAGCGGGGAAGCCCGCCCCTCCTTTTGCATTACCAGGGGCAGAGCTGGCTGTCCTGAAGTCACAACGGCTGCACCCTTGCTAACCGCACCCCAGGCCCCACAGACCAGTGACCGTGTGGGAGGAAGCCCTTGGGGCAGGGCCCGTGATTCGCATCTCCCTTCTCCACAGGAGCAGGAGGGGAGCCATTCGTGGCTGCTTCCTCCACTGGAAGCTTTCACAAGGTGTTGCCAATCAACAGTGGCCTTCGGAGCCTTGACAGCCTGTTCTGGGACAGCATCCAGTTCTAGAGAGAAGTAAAATACCCACACTGGACAGATATTATTAGAAATACAGAAAGCAATTTCCCCTCAGCATTCATAGGCCCCCTTCGGCCTCTCTGGGAGGGAAGCCAACATTGTCCCCATCGTATGGATGGGGAGACTCGGGGCCAGACGTGCGAGTGAGTGACTTCCGGAAGTCACACAGGTAGTTCAGAGCAGAGCCAAGGCTTGAATCCAGGTCTCTTCACCCTAAGCCTCGGTGCTCTGAGCGTGAGGCCTGTGGAGACAGAAGCTTCCAGAAAATGCTGGCTGGTAGAGTAAGGGAGTAGGATGCAGGCTGCCTGGAGCTTCCCAGGTGGCGCTAGCGGCAAAGAACCCGCTGCCAATGCAGGAGGCGTAAGAGACCTGGGCTCGACCCCTGGGTCAGGAAGATGCCCTGGAGGACGGCAGGGCAGCCCTCTCCAGTGTCCGTGCCTGGAGAACCCCATGGACGGAGGAGCCTGGTGGGCTGCAGCCCGTGGCGGGACAGAGTTAGGACGCAGGATGCAAGCTGCTTAGAACTGGCACTGTGTTCCTCCTCTGGGTCCCAGGTCCAAGCGAGGGAGCTCCGACATGCGCAAGGTCTGCCTTGCTGCCGGACGCTTCGCTCCTGGGTGAGAAGGCTCCGCAGCAGCAGCCGGGAGCAGCTGGTGGCGCATCTCTCCCACGGCGGAGCGCTGAGGCCAGAGGCCGGGCAGGCGGCCCGGCTGCAGGCAGCTGCTCATCCCGCGCGTCCTCCCAGCGCTTCTGCGGGAGTCTCGATTCAGGGCTTCCGGCTGATCTTCGGTGGGCAGAGGTGGTTACGGGGACCGATGAGGGGCGGCCGTGGCGGGCAGCACCCACCCCAGTGCTGCTGGGTGGCTGCTGCCGTTTCGTCGCTCAGTCGTGTCCGACTCTTTGCGGCCCCATGGACTGTAGCCCACCAGGCTCCTCCGTCCATGGGATTCTCCAGGCAAGGACACTGGAGAGGGCTGCCATTTCCTTCTCCAGGGGGTCTTCCCGACCCAGGGATCCGTCTCGTGCAGTGGCGGGCAGATTCTTTACTGCTGGGCCACCAGGGAAGCCCTGTCTGGCGGCAGTATATTAGTGAGAACACCCTTAGGAGAGTCAGGAGGCTGCTTGTCCCCAGCTCAGCCTATCAGTGATCAATGCTGGGCTGGACTGGGCCTTGTGCTTCTTACTGTGTTTGTAAGACAGCCTTCACCGGCCCCATCAGGAAAGCTTGGACAAGATGAAGGTTTATTACTTGCAGGACCTGGAAATCACACAACACAGTGGGGCCTTGTGACGGGGAGAGAGAGAGAACCCGGGCTTTTGCTTTTATTGAGGTCGAGGCTTCCGTGGGCTCACTCTTTACTGGTGAATTTAAAACATAAGACTGAGCACTCCAAGCACGGGAGAGAAAAAACAAGCGGCCCAGATGGTCAGGAATGGGAGTCGGCAAGACCCCTGACACGAAGGAGCCTCACCGGGAACAGGAGGAAGGCTCCTGGTCAGGTCTGGGGGCTGGCGCCGCGTTCATCCGGGAGCGCCGTCGCTGAAGTGGTCGCCTCGGCAATCAGACCTATGCCGGCCAGCTGCACTACACGAAACAAGAAATGAAGACCACCGGCAGGGTTTCCACGGTGGCGGCCCTCCACCACCGGAATGACAGGGAGCGGGCGCTCTCCCCACAATGAGACTTTCCCCCTGCTGTCAGCTGGAAGGGCCAGGGGAAGATTTTACCGAGAGAGCTGAAGCTGCTGGGCTGCGGCTGGTGTCATGGTGGAGGGCGGAAGCTCTAGTCCACTGCTAGCCATCCTGGGCATCCGGGTTGAGGGAAGCAGGTTCGCCTCATTTGGCCTCCATGCAGGATGCACGCTGCATAGCTCTGGGGAGCACTGGTTCTTTTGTGCAGTGCACGACCTACACTCCTGTACATGGCAGCCCGGTCTGGGAAGGAGAGGTGCCTGACTGAAGGGAAAACAGCCCAACACCTGAGAGATCCTGGCTGAGACCCAAGAGACCGGTCCTGGTCCACTTTAGTGACCAGCTCAATTCCAGGAGGAACTAACACACACTGAGCTCCCACTGGGCTTTCATGGAGGCTCAGTGGTAAAGAATCTGCCTGCAGTGCAGGAGACCCAGGGGTGGTGACAATCCCCTGGAGAGGGAATGGCAGCACACTCCAGTGTTCTTGCCTGGAGAATCCCATGGACAGAGACGTTACTTTGCCTACAAAGGTCCGTCTAGTCAAAGCTATGGTTTTTCCAGTAGACATGTATGGATGAGACAGCTGGACAATAAAAAAGGCTGAGCACCAAAGAACTGATGCTTTCAAACTGGTTCTGGAGAAGAGTCTGGAGCGTCCCTTGGACCGCAAGGAGATCCAACCAGTCCATCCTAAAGGAAATCAACCCTGAATATTCATTGGAAGGACTGATGCTGAAGCTGAAGCTTCAATACTTTGGCCACCTGATGTGAAGAACTGACTCATTTGAAAAGACCCTGATTCTGGGAAAGATTGAAGGTGGGAGGAGAAGGGGACGACAGAGGTTGGGATGGTTGGATGGTATCACCATCCAACTCAAGGCCATCCAACTCATGCCAACTCAATGGACGTGAGTTTGAACAAACTCTGGGAGATGGTGAAGGGCAGGGAAGCCCTGTGTGCTGTAGTCCATGGGGTCACAAAGAGTTGGACACGACTGAGCATCTGAGCATCTGAGCATTAGAGTGCTTCTTATGTGCCAACTCATAATAGATGACTTATCTCAATCAGACTTCTGTGTCTTCCAATGTACGCTCTACTACATTTTCCAAACATTTCTTTATTTTGCTGCGCTGGGTCTTAGCTGCAGCAGGCAGGATCTTTGATCTTCCTGGCGGCACATGGGAGTTTTTAATCACGGTGTGAGAATACTTATCTGCAGCACGTGCAATCTGGTTTCCTGACCAGGGGTTGAACCCAGGCTCTGCACTGAGAGCAGCCAAGTCTCAGCCGCTGGACCTCCAGGGACGTCTCTCTACTACATTTTAAGTTGGGGGAAATGTTGTTGCTTTATTGATGAAATGACCACATTTACATTTTCAATGCAGATATTTCACTTTCCAAATGCAAAAGTCAGCTTTGTAGTCAAGTCTGGTTTGTAATGTAGGTTGCCTTTGTATCCTTTAAAGTTAGTGACAGTCGAGTTGGTACCCAAGAGTTTTCTGGGGCCCTGTGGATGTCTCTTTTCACCCTTAAGACCTACAGTCATCAGGTAGGTGCTCAAAGCGTCGCTGGGCATCTGGCTCTCAGCCGGGTTAGGAAGGGCCAGCCTCAGTTTTCTTATGTGTGAATGGAGATGACGATACCTGCTGTATTGTATCACGAGGCTTACGTGAAACTGAAGGTGCTGTTTCTTGAGTACCTCCTGTGTACCAGATCTGTTGAGCCTTGGCATTTGTTAGCTCATGTGACTTGTACCTGGCACAGAATCCCCACTGTCTGCTGAATGAATGAATGAACACCTCCGCACAGGGCCAGCTTCTTGGCAGGCCCCCGGGGCCCCAGGCTTGGTTCAACGCTCTGCTGTTGCCATCTTGAAATGTTTCATAATTTTTGAAGAAGAGACTTGCTTTCTTGAAAAATAATTTTAATAAATGAATTTAATGAATAGCTGTGCTGGGCCTCGTCGCTCTGCACAGGCTTCCTCCGGTTGCGATGAGTGGGGTCACTGTCTAGCTGGGGCGTGCGGGCTTCTTGTTTTGGAGGCTTCTCTTAGAAGCACGGCCTCTAGGGCGTGAGGGCTTGGGTCACTGCAGCACACGGGCTTAGCTGCTCCGTGGCAGGTGGGATCTTCCCAGACCAGGGATTGAACCTGTCCCCTGCGTTGGCAGGTGGGTTCTTAACCACCAGACCACCTCGGAAGTCTCTGCTTTTTTTTTTCCAAAGGCAGGGAGTAGACTTATTAATACCCTTTGCAAAGCGGCTGTGGGAAAATGGGGAGCGAGAGAACGTTCATGTCCCAGGTCTTGGGCAAGGTCCTAGGACAGGCCATCGAGGCAGGGTCCCTGGCTCCACACAGGAAACAGGACCCTGCGCTTTGATTTTGCACTGGGTCCTGCAGATGAGGTCGCTCGCATTGCCTCTCCGTAAGCCCCGTGGGACATTCTATTCCGCCTTGTCACACCCATTCTACAGATGCATAAGCTGAGGCATAGGGCAGTGAAATGACATGCATGGTTTCCCAGCCTGTAAAGTGCAGAGCGGGGCCTTGGTGTGGACTTCCGCCAAGTGCAGTTCATTTCACTGCGAGGGCGGCCGTGCTGCTGCGGCCTCACGCCTGCGCTGGGCCTGGCCAGGACAGGTCACAAGTCCACAAAGTGGGGGGCTTTTCCCTCCAGCTCTTAAAGGTCAGGGTGTTGGAGGATCTCACCAGTCCTTGGAAAAACTTCCAGTTTTTGACAAAGCAGTAAAAACGGCCTTCAGTCCGCCCACTCTGTTTCTTGTTCTGGAAGATGAGTGAATAGGAAATGGGGGAGAAACAAGGAAGACGAACACATCTCGTGGGGGAGCCAGCAGCACCTCCCTTTTTAGCCTGTTTGAGGGGAGGGGGACACGGAAAAGGAAAGCCCCCCACCCCAGGCCTGGGGCCTCTGGAAAGCTGTTCCACAGCTCTCCAACCAACGCTGAAAATGAAAACTATGGGACAAGCTGGTCCCCACCACCTAGAACAAAGGGAGGCTGGTGTGTCTTAGTCACAGCTAATTTCTGGCAAATTACTGGCCTTGGGAGCAGGACTGCTTGTAAAGTTCTCACTGCTCCAAGCCGGAGGCAATTTATTCAAAGGGAAATGAAGGCCACATCTGTTGAGGTGGTGGGGCCTCTGTGAGCTCACGATGCCTGAGCTGGAATCCTAGGTGCACCTGCAGCAGGCCTGGTGCTCTCCCCAGCCCAGCTTTTATTCTCCTGGAGTGGTTTGCAGAAGGATGCTCAGAAGGGCATATGTGAGCTCAGGACGGTGTGCACGGGCTCTTTAAAAAATAATAAAGACCTCTACTACTCCCAAGGCTGAGTGCCTGTGGTGGGGGAGTTGTGGGCGGAAGGAAATTGCAACTGAATTTTTCTTTTTCCAGCCTGAGAGGGAGGGTGTTGGAAGAGACTCTGAAGGAGAGGAAATGCCCTGTTCCTTCTTAATTCTGAGGCGGCTGGATTCACACACAACACCCCAGCAGCTCAAGGCAGAAAGGGAGCCTCAGGTTGTAGAGAGTAGGTCTCAGGCTGGAGGCCCTTGAGGGAAAAGGCGGGGCCGGGGAGCGGGGAGGAGGTCACGCTGTGAATCGGGACCCAGGAGGCAGAGCAGGATGGAGCTTGGACCTTGTGGGTTATGGACCAGAGAGGGGGCAGGAGGAGGAGGACCACTCACGGGCCTAATGTGTGCAGAGCGCAGCTAAGAGCCCCTCTAGAGACAGAGTCAGCTTCTTTTTCACGGCCACCCAGCAGACATACCAAAGAGGACACAAGCAACTGGAAGGTGCCACGAGCAATTCTTTTATATGTGTGTGTGTGATTTTGTTTGTTTGTTTTGGCTGTGCTGGGTCCTTGTTGCTGGGCGAGCATTCCTCCGGAGCTCCTCTCCAGCTGCGGCGAGCAGGGCCTGCTCACTAGCTGTGGTGCAGAGGCTCTCACTGGGGGCTCTCACTGGGGAGCTCTCACTGGGGGCTCTCACTGGGGAGCTCTCACTGGGGGGTTCCTCACTGGGGAGCTCTCACTGGGGGGTTCCTCACTGGGGGGCTCTCACTGGGGAGCTCTCACTG